GATGAAGACTAATTCTTAAAGTGTATTTAAATTACTTAAAATTCTTATGAAGTTTGTTAAAATAACTGAAATGTGAAAAGATTTCACTTTCTAATTTATTCATACAAGTTACCTGAGTTCAGTAACTTACTAATGAAAGGCCTCTGGACCCTGCTGGCAACATTATTAAAAAAGTGTGATAACTGTCTCACCAGCTGTGTCTACTTTGCAGCAGCCATTGTGGAGAACAGCATGAGGTTTCCTCAAAAAACTAAAAATGGAACTCCTATTTGACCCAGTGATCCCACTTCTAGGAATATATCCCAAGAAACTAGAACCACCAATCAGAAAGGATATATGCACCCCTATGTTCATAGAGGCACAATTTACCATAGCTAGGATTTGGAAACAGCTTAAGTGCCTATCAGCAAATGAGTGGATTAAAAAACTGTGGTACATGTACTCAGTGGAATACTACGCTACAGTAAAAAAGAAGGAATTCTTGCATTTGCAACAGCATGGATAGAACTGGAGAGCATTATGCAAAGTGAAATAACCCAGTCAGAGAAAGATAAATATCACATGATCTCACTTATTTATGGAATATAATGAACAACATATACTGATGAACAAAAACAGATCCAGAGACAAAGAAGCATCTATCAGACCATCAAACCTCAGAGGGAAGGTAGTGGAGGATGGGGGTAAGGGGAGAGATCAACCAAAGGATTTGTATGCATGCATATAAGCCTAACCAATGGACATAGACAACAGCGGGGTGAGGGCACGAGTGGAGAGGTGGGGAGAGGGGGGAGTGGGGAGATAAGGACACATATGTAATACCTTAATCAATAAAGGAAAAAAAAAAGCTGTGATAAGTAGCATATAGCAAATGTGCTCTCTTGTAAGCTGCTGCCATCCCCAACACACTAGCATTTGTTTGACTGCTAATCTTTTAACTTAAAATCTGTAGTAGAAGCATTTCCTAAAGAATGCTTCACTGGCAGTATTTGCCACCTAAACTTAAAATTCTATTTAGGCTCCAACAACAGAACAGACTGGCAGCCAGTGTTATATTAAATAGAAAATCATGACAATTTAATTTGTGCTTGACAACTAGATACCTGAAACCATTCCCTGGAAATGTCACTACAATAATGTTACTTATTTGGAGGGGTAGGATCCAAGAGAAAAAACAGGTCATTAGTGGTTAACGAGTAAAGAAGACAGTAGCAGTAGGGATGGGAAAACAGCAATACAACACAAACAGACTTAGGAGAACTGTGAAACTGCAGAAAAAAAATTAAAAAGTTAAAAAAATGTAGGGCTTCATGGAATGAAATTCCTACAACACAAAATAAACACAGAGAAATAAGCCTACACTTTCTCATTTGAAATCACATAAGCAAGGATCAAACATATATTGATGCTAAGTTTATATAACAAAAGCCTGAAAACTTTATACCAATAGAAAATATTGTTAAATTAAAAAATATTCCTCTAATTTTGGCCCTATTTTTTTTGCTCTATGAAGCAATTCATAAGGGGAAAAAAATAACTTCAGACTATAAATGATGAATGTAACTATTAGGAGTAGCCTCTCTATGAGGTCTGAAATAGAAGGAAAATATATATTTCTTCCAAAGCTGTAGCCAATAATAACTTTTGCATTCTGAATCCAGCTTAAGCACATTAGTAGGGAAGATGTTTGCAAAAGTATTTAATAAGAAAGTGCTGAATTTAGCTTTTATTTTTTTTCTCAGTTTTTTTTTAAATGGCATGCAGTCTATCAAATGCATTAAGCAGAACCTCTCTTAAGTATAAATGATAAAAGGGAAAAAAAACGTTCTTATTAGAGACCAGTTTCTATAGGTGAAGGGTCATCAAACTTTTTCTGTAAAGGGCCAGATAGTAAATACTTTCAGCTTTACTGGCCATGTGGTCTCTATCACAAATACTCAACTCTACCATGAAGCATGAAGGCAGAGATAGATAATAGATAAGCGAGTAAAACCTTATTTTCAAAAACAGGCAGCCAGTCTACGGGCTCATAGACCTAGTTTGTTGATCACTGCTATAGAATATATTAATTACCTACCAATAAATATATTGCTTTAATAAATACCACCAAATTTAAAATATGATGTCTGTGATTTGCTTTAGACTGTTGAATTGAAAACAAGAGGAGAGTAGGAAAAAACGTTAAATAAGACTGGTAAAACACAGTTACTGTTAAAGCCAGATGATGGATGCATGGGGTTCACTATATTCTTCTCTATAATATATACTAGTGACCCGGTGCACAAATTCATGCACATTGAAAAAAAATTAATTGGAAGAAATAGTTTAATATTGCTATTCACGCTCTCTCTATAATAGAAGTGTCAGCCAATTTCATGATCGACAATGACAGATCAAAACACATACATGTGATTGGTGCCAGCGAGAGCTTTATATGTATCATGCATACATGAGTTAACTTAGCCTTTTATATATACAGAATATTTAAATGCAGCAGTGTTTAATTATATTCTTCACACTGATTAAGCCTGAAGTTATTTTCAAGGTCCATCATTTCAGTCGGGTCAAGTTTCTAAGCTTTCTAAATTTCCATTTTCTAACTAATGAAAAGAAAATAGGATTCCACCGAGTCTACTATCTACCTACTCCAGGACTTCTGTGAGGCATAAGAAAACAATTCACAGATATATGGTTGCAGTGTGAAATCTTTCCACCTATCTATAAAGAAAGTCCTGTTCCTGGGCTGAAGAAACTGCAAGGAGGCTAGTTGTTGCTAGGGAGAGGAAGCTGGATGTTGCTACATGATGTCATTACCCAGAACACTAAGCATATTAGCCTTTAATATATATAGATTATATGTAATATGTTTTAAAACACAAAGTAAATTGGTGGACTAGCTCTCTATAGGAAAATGAATTTCCCCACTTTACTATTAACCTAGTTAACATATCGATATTTGATGTTTTTCAATGTGAGAGAAACACATCGATTGGTTGCCTCCTGCACAAGCCCTGACCAGGACAAGCCAGGGAGGAACCTGCAACCAAAGTACATAACCTTGGCTGGAATCGAACCTGGGACCCTTTGGTCCTCAAGCCGATGCTCTATCCACTTGAGCAAAACTGGCTAGGGAAACATAAAAGATTCATAACATAAAGCTACTAAACCATAATGAAAAAACGTAAAACTAATAAACTGTATACTACCATGTTTCTCGGAAAATAAGACATCCTCCGAAAATAAGACCTAGTGCATGGAAATATAAGACATCCCCTGAAAATAAGACTTAGCGCAACTTTGGGAGAAAAAATTAATATAAGACACTGTCTTATTTTGGGGAAACAGGATAGTATACTGAAAGTGTATAAAGCATAAACCCTTAACATTTTCCATAATTTAAAACACAAGGCCTGATAGCTCAGTTGACTAGAGCATTGTCCCAATATTCCAAAGTTATATCTATGTTCAAACTCTGGTCAGGGTACATACAAGAATCAAACAGTGACTACATAAATAGATGGAACAACAAATCAAAGTTTCTCTCTCTCTTGTTCTCTCTCTCTCTCTCTCTCTCTCTCTCTCTCTCTCTCTCTCTCTTTCTTCTCTTTCTCTCTCCTTCTCTCTAAAATCAGTAAATTAAAAATAAAACAAACTGAATCACCTTATACAACTCCTAAATTAGTACATTTATTTTATTCTCATCTCGTATCATCTAACAAAATGTGTTTCCAATCTCTGGTTTTTTAATATAATTACTAGAGGCCCAATGCACAAAATTTGTGCAAGGGGATCAGCCCTCGTAGCCCTGGCTTCGTCCAGAAGATCATCTGGATGTCTGATTTAATTAGCATATTATGCTTTTATTATTATAGATTTTAGGGCATACTTATATATATAATAAATTAATATATATATTATATAATATATATAATAGATTTAATTTTCAAATGAATTAAATAATTTTTACTCAGTTTTAAACTCTAGGCAATAAATATCAATAGATACAACCCACATAAACAGATGCTGAGCATAAAGGGAGCCTGAGACCAAAAACTTAATAACCTGTGATCTAAATGTTTTCAATGTTGTTAAAGTACGTTCACCAAGAAAGTATTAGATATATGCTCAAAGGCATTTTTTCTTAGAACAATAAATATCACACAGTGGAGTCCATCCATTATGAAGTGGAAGTCCACCCATTATGAAGGCTCTCAATACACCCACAAGAGGAAGATACTTAAACCTTCAAAAGAAACATTCTTTTAAAATTGCTGGACATGTCAGGAATAAAGCATCCAAGTCAGAAAAAGAGGAGCTCTAATGTGTTGTCCCCTTATGCAGAAAATTATCTCCTGAACCAATAATAAAGAAAAACTAACATGTGCCAACTGACATTTCCAATAAATATTATTTAAATCAAGATATGCATTCTCACTCAGTGCAGGAAGCCAGAAATCAAGCTGAGAAGAGTCTTAGAAAAGAAATCTTAATGACTGTGCAACTTTTTAAAAACTGAGTATGTTTTTAAAATATTCTCAGTTTTTTCTCAATCTTCTGAAATACAGTGATTTCAAATATTATCAAAACTAAAAAGTAAATTATATTAGGCAAACATAATTATTGTGAATTTGAGAATAACTAAGAACTCTGTGAAAATACTGCAACTATGCTAGAATATAATCTACTACATCATAATTTTCTAAATCGAAAATAGGAATAAACAATTTATAACAATAAGTAGAGCAAACATATTTACATAAATGTTCATTCTTTTATACATATAAACCAATACTTATTTTCCTAATACAGTACAATTGTAGCATTCTTAACTAATGTTGTCCCTTTTGTCTGCATATTGCTATTGAAAATGTTATCAAACAATTTCATTTTTATTTAAGTACAAGTTTCCCAGTTAAGTTTTACAAATGTTATTTCTATTGTCTTTTTATCAACATGAATAACTTAACCTAGTAATAAGTAATATGCAGAGACATACTTACAGCATACTCTGCAATTCTGAGGCAAAGCTTGTAGACTTTCCTGTACTTCTTCCACTACTTGAAGTGGCAGTAGACATTGGACTGGCTGCAGTATTATTCATCTAAATAGAAAAGATAAATAACACAAAATGTATTTAATTATAAATAAATGCAAGAAAAACAAAAGCAATTGTAAATTACATCAAAAAGAATAGAAAGTCCTTGCTGATTTGGCTCAATGGATAGAGCATCGGCCTGCAGACTGAAGGGTCCAGGTTCGATTCAGGTCAAGGGCATATGCCTGGGTTGTGGGCTCAACCCCCAGTAGGGGGCATGGAGGAGGCAGCCAATCAATGATTCTCTCTCATCATTGATGCTTATATATCTCTCTCTGCCTTTCCCTTCTTCTCTAAAATCAATAAAATATATATTTTTTAAAAGTATAGAAAATTTTAAATTTCTAATTTTTGTGTGTAAATCTGATTTTTTTATACTTAATGTTCTTTATTAAAATGCAATAGTAAGCCCAGCCAGTGTCGCTCAGTGGTTGAGCATCAACCCATGAACCAGGAGGTCACAATTGGGAAAAAACTGCTTAGTCATGTATGATATAAAAAATTACTCCCTTGAGTGATAAAACATTTCAGTACATATTTTATAATAAGTAATGGAAGAAAAATAGTCATTAAAATATTTTAATAGAACTCAGTGGTTTTTAAAAAAGACTCACTGGCACTATTTCACGGAGCTCCGAGTGGCCCTCACCCATATACCAAGCATATACCTCATCTAGAACCACCAGAACAACTCACTATATAAATAAGGTTCCAAGTGAGATTTCATTTAAAGAAAAAAATTGCACAATTGTAAGTTACAAACTTAGAAAATCACAGCACAATATAATCCCTATATGAACGAAAACCTTAATACAAATAATATAAAGTCAATCAGATCAGAAGTAAGCACTGTGATATTTTATAATCTTACTAGAATGGAGTTCCTAAACCTGGCCAGCAATTAAGGCCGATTGGGGTCAGTTGGCCAGGGGGAGGGACCACAGGAGGTTGGCCAGCCTTAGGAGGTTGGCTGTGGGAGTGCACTGACCACCAGGGGACAGCTCCTGCATTGAACACCTGCCCTCTGGTGGTCAGTGCGAATCATAATGACTGGTTGAACAATCATTCTGTCACTTAAGCTTTATATATAGACTAGAGGCCCAGTGCAAGAATTTGTGCATGGGTAGGGTTCCTCAGCTTGGCCAGAGATCAGGGTCGATCAGGGCCATCTTACCCAGTCCCTGTCGGGCTGACTGGGGCCAGCTGGCCAGGGGGAGGTACCATAGGAGGTTGGCCAGCCATGGGAGGTTGGCTATGGAAGTGCAATGACCATCAGGGGGCAGCTCCTGCATTCAGCGTCTGCCCCCTGGTGATCAGTGAACATCACAGCAACTGGTATTCAGTCGCTTAGGCTTTTATAGATTTATAGGTAGGTAGGTAGGTAGGTAGGTAGGTAGGTAGGTAGATAGATGGATGATAGTTAAGTAACTCATCAATTATAATTGTGTAATTTTTTTCCCAATAAAATTAAGCAGATGCTAATGAGAAAACTAGATGCCAATGCTAATATATTCCACTGGTGCTAGGGGTGTGTGTCCCTCAGCCCAGCCTGCACCCTATCCAATCCAGGACTGCTGGCCCCCAACTGCTCACCTGCTTGCCTTCCTGATTGCCCCTAACCACTTCTGTCTGCCAGCCTGATCACCCCCTAACCACTCCTCTGCCAGCCTGATTGATGTCTAACTACTCCCCTGTCAGCCTGTTTGCCCCTAACTGACCTCCCCTGCAGGCCTGGTCACACCTAACTGCCCTACCCTGCAGGCTTGATCGCCCCCAACTGCCCTTCCTTGCAGACCTGATCCTTCCCAACTACCCTCTCCTGCTGGCCATCTTGTGTCCACATGGGGGCAGCAATCTTGTGTGCTGGAGTGACAATTAATTTGCATAATACTCTTATTAGATAGAATCTCAGAGGCCTGGTGCATGGGTGGGGGCCAGCTGGTTTGCCCTGAAGGGTGTCCCAGATCAGGGTGGGGGTTCCCTTGGGGCATGGGGCAGCCTGAGAGAGAGGCCTGTGGTGGTTTGCGGGCTGGCCACATCCCCCTGCAACCCACGCAGAGGTCCTGGTATCTGGGATTTATTTATCTTCTACAATTGAGACTTTGTAGCCTTGAGTGGAGGTCTAAGCAAGCCAGGATGTGCAGAAATCTTGGCTTCCTCAATCACCAGGGGAAATTCAAGCCTCTTGCTCTCTCCAGCTCTGTGGCTGTGGCCATTTTTGTTGGGATTTATTTATCTTCTATAATTAAAACTTTGTAGCCTTGAGTGGAGGCCTACGCTGGCCAGGGTGTATGGAAAGCTTGACTTCCTCTGTTACCGGGGAAACCCAAGCCTCCTGCTTGCTCCATGGCTGCAGCCATCTTGTTGGGTTAATTTGCATACTCGCTCCTGACTGGCTAGTGGGTATAGCTTGTGGGAGTAGTGGAAGTATGGTCAATTTGCATATTACCTTTTTATTAGATAAAGTATTTTATTTAATGTAACTGTCCCATAACCAATGATTAATAAAAATAGCATTAAAATAATCTAAGTAGATAAAAATCTTAATTATTACATAGTAAGTGTTCAATAAATGTTAGCTATTAATTCATGGTCATATAAATCTTGCAATACTGTAACTTTCTTAAAAATAAAGATACTTTGTAAATTCTAAAGAAGAATTACATTTAGAACAAATGACAAAATAAAGCAATGCTAAGAACTTTAACTATAGTAAACTAATTAGGAAGAATCCAGAGTCAGACTGCTCAGGTTTGAATCCCAGCTTTGCTACTTTGCTAGTATTTTAGGCAATTTATTTAACTTCCCTGTGCTTCAGTTTCCTCATTTGTAAAATAGGAATAATTTCACCCTCTTAGTGAACTAATATGTCTACAGCAGTTTTAAGCACACAATGTTTGCTTTGTTAAAAACAGAACAATCTTAAGAAGTCTCTTTCTTGATTTGCTAACAGCTTTTTTATGACAAATTTAGATTATTCTCATTTCATAATCACAAAAATTTAAGAAACTTGAATATTTTCACTGACAGGCCTTAATGCATTTCAACAAATAATAAGTAATTTCTTTATAAGTTACGTTTTCAATACAGACATCACTACTGTTACCGGTCACCCTATCTCAAAAATTTGTCATTTATCTTTGACCTTTATCCAGCACCCTATAATCCATTGAAAGCCAAATAAAGTCTACTTTATGTTCTTAAGAGGTCAAAAACATCTATTTCATGTTCTTACATTCTCCCTCTCTTTTTCTACCTATGGCCCTTTATAAGCTCTATTTATAGCTTCTCTCTTTCCATCTCAATTCATTCTCCACGTTGCTGCCAAATTTATCTCCTAATACATCTTCTAATATGACCACTTCTATGGGTAAGGTTGGCTAAAATTGATAAAGGAAACCTGAACCAGGGCCATTCACCAAGAGCTGGGATGGAAGGACTATTGTGGTTATGATATACTAGGATTAGGACCTTTTACCTCTTACCAATATGAAAGGTGGCGGGAGGGGGTGGGGGGAGAGGAGAGGGAGAAACCTACTACCAATCACTGCCCTGCCTAGATAGGCCATATATAAAGCTTTTGAGAAGGCAATAAGACTGATATCTACAACAAGTGCACACTAGCTGAGTAGCTAGATGGGAAATATCTGAAATAACCTTCTGTGGTAGAACCAGCTATCTGCCAACATAAGCCTAGTCCAAGGGCCGTAAGGGCCAGGCCAAAACCACCAGACAGAGAATGCAAGAGCAGAGAAAGAGAAGGAAAAAAGTTTCACTCAAAATGAACCTGAAAACCAAAATTCTAAACCAAATAAAGAAGCTAATGCTATGAAACATCATCAGTTTTTTTAAGTCTAAATTTGCTCTATTTTTTTTCAAAAAGCCTTTCGGAATAAGTAATTTTTTACAAATAATATAGGAAAAGAAGAATCACCACTTGAAACTCGGCTTTAAATTTTAAAAAATCCCATCACCAACCAAAGATTGGGGAAAATAGACAGGAAACCAAGAACTTCCAGGAACAGTCCTGAAGAATCAAGACAAAGTGCTAACAAAGGAACCTGGCTTCCTCAAAGACCTTAGAAAATGTTTCCTTTATTGTCCCAACAGAAGACTGACAGAGAGGTAAAATATCCTACAGAGAAAGTTAAACTCAAAGACTGTGTATTAACGCCAGGCTCCAAAAACAGTTATGACTTAGTTCACTCATGTTGGATTTGAAGACATGCCATTCTGATTTTCCTGTGGCCAAATGTCCTGAGACATTGTTAGAGGAATCTGCCCTTTTTTCATTTTACAAATCCAGTCACCCTGCTTTAACACTTTCTAAAGAGGAGACATTTCAGAAAGTAAATTCATATTAAAACAACAGCTTTTCTTCAATTGTCCTTCTACTGCAAATGTTTCACATCAAGAGTATTTATTGGTAAGAGGTAAAAGGTCCCAATCCTAGTTTATTATAACCACGATCATCCTTTCACAGTCAAGTTATTTAATTTTTAAATCAAACAGGTGAATAAGATTTTTCTTGACATGATGAGTTGATAGCTTATTAGAATCTTTAAAATAATTATTTCCCATACCCATTTTGTTTGATGATTTAGATAATTAACTTCTTTCAACATTAACTTCTTTACACATCAAAGTCCTATCATTCCAGTGTTTTATTTCCTTCCTCCCAGACATTTAAAAAAAAAAAAAAATGTCGGTTAAAAGCAGAAGCACTCAAGTCAATTTTCTCTAATAAATACAGTTAACATGGAACTGAAAACCTACTGTAATCTTCTCAATGGGTTAATGTCCTACAGTTGTTTTAGCTTTCAATTGAAATGCAGCTGTTTGCCATATTTTACAAAATGAATTCAGATGTGCAGACGGAGACCTAGATTATTTCAACATGCCACAGTTTAAATGTGAACCCAAGGAATAAGTTCATCTCTGATTAATACTTATATTTAAACTGATCACTAAGCCAATAGCCTATACTATGTTACACCTATAAAATC